CCCCTCTCTCTCCCTCCCTCTCTCCCTCCCTCCCTCACTCCCTCTCTCGCTCCCTCTCTCTCTCTCCTCTCTCTCCCTCTCTCTCTCTCCTTTATACCTATACCAGTCAGTATTCTTTGTTTGCTCTTGTGTATACAGTATAAAATGGATTATACATCAATTATCTCTTTACATTTTACTACAGGTTCAGGAGAGCAGTACTTTCCATGGTGAGATGCAAGTCACGTGGAGAAGTAAATCTTGATAACCAGTTTGCAATGAGTGTCTCCCAAAATCCTTTGACAACATAGCACATAATCAATATGAAAGGTTCTGTTTATATGGAGACAATATTAATATTCAGCACAGGATGCTGCTAGCTTGTTTTCTATGTGAATTATCTTCACAATGATGTGTAACCAACAACAGATAAAAGATGAATCATGGAGTCAAGGTACCAACTGTCTCACCGCTACAATCTTAATACCCCTCTTTTGTACTCGCATCCAAAAAATCTGTCTCAAAGTTCCTAATAAAGTTGAAAAGCATTCTAGCTTGATCTTTGTTTCTGTAAAACGTGCCCAGTAATTCCATTGTTATTTCTAGTACTTGCCCTTTGCTGAGATGTCCTCTTCACGGGAACTTACAACTGCTAAAGCTCCTTTCATACAGACACTGTTCTTTCCGATCAGCAGGGGATCCATGCACAGGTCCCCTGCTAATTAAAGCAGTACAGAACAGGTCTGTTCAGTTTTTCCTCCATCTTACGATGCAAGAAAAAGCTCAGCTGTATGGACCCATGTTAGCTCTATGGGGAGTCGGATGTAAGCTGATGTCTGTTTACATCAGAATACCTCTGATCTGTCATGATCAGGTCCATCATAGCAGAACTCTGTTCCGTTGTTTTTTCCATACCTAGATGGAGTCTGGGGTAATCGGATGTAAATGGACGAAGAACCATTTGCATCTAGCTGCTCATACATTGAGCCTCCGATCAGATCCGCATGAAAAACTGACAGGTGGATCTGATTGAACCGCCTGTGTGAAAATGGCCTTAGCCATTTGTAAATTAAATGTAAAGGAATTGGATTGCGATGGGAATGGCTAGACCCTCTATTTGTCCTGATGATCATTGTCACGAAGACAGAAAATAAGGGGAAATCCTACATGTTAGAGTTGTCATGAGGGTAAGAGGTGAGAGGAAATCTTCCATTGAGGACATGCTGTATATTCTGGAATTCTTCCCACTTTGGGAAGCGTTCTCCTCACTTCCTGTTATGTATCCAGCAGGGCCGTAGATAATTTTTTTTCCTGGGGGGGGTTCAGCTTCCTTAAATTATAAGATTTTATGTAGCAGACACACAAAGGTTTGAAAAAAATATACCCTGCTATCTGATTGCCTGCTCTGTCTCCATCCTTCTGACGCTGGTAGAACACCCTGCCCCCTGCAGAGCCCGCACTGAGGCATGTACAGATCATCCAGGGCCAGGCAGGAACAGGCACATCTGAAGGGATGCTGGGGATGCCCTGTTTGATAAAACATCGGTGTTCGTAAAATACAGTTCTCCTCCAGCCGTCACCGATGTTTTATTAGACAAGACATCCCCGCATCCCTTTAGAAGACCCTGCCTGTCTGTGGATATCCTTCAGACGGGCGCTCGGGAGCACATTCACCCCTTCTGCCCCCTCTCACAACACCACTGCCAGGACCCTCTGGGGGGGGGGTTTGAACCCCCCTATCCCCCCCTTATCTACGCCCCTGGTATCCAGGTCAGGAAGTAAAGAGAAATATCACCAGCTGGACCGAGGCAGCAAAAAATAACCTGATGGGTTTCAACACACACACACACACACTTTTTTCAAGGCTAAAATAAAACAGTTTGGCTATACATAGATTTTAAAGCTAAGCTCCAAGGGGTATACTAAAGAAAAACACCAATAGATGCAGTTCTTTATTTTTAAAAAATCAATACATGTATTTTAATTAGTATAAATATTGGGGGAAGGAGGGTCATTGGTAGGAGCCAATAAGCTGTCCTGCATTCACAAGGAACATGACCTCACTTCACCACCAGTCACAGGCTGGGGGCAGGGAGCAGGGAGGTGACCAAGCTGCACTGCTTAACTGCAGCAGAAAAATGTCAGGTCATCAGCTTGCCTATACAGTGTGCTAGAGCTGAGTAAATCAGGACTGGATGGACAGAATTACTAATCCTTTAACTGGTAAGACAGTTCCTAAATATGTATTTCAACTGTGTCTTTAGATGTTTTCCTGAAGTTCAGCTTAGAATAAGGATGATTTGACCCCTTGGCAACTGCACAAACTGTTAACATGGCCACATAACACTACAATAGATTATTTTGGCTGCTTGCATTTTTATCCGTTATTGAATAGCTTTAATAGCAAACACAATATGGTTACATAGTATAGAAAAATTCCAAGAAGTAACATACCACAAACTTAAAAGATAAGGGTAAAGTATGATGCCTGTCCAAAAGAAGTCAAACACTTCAATATTTCAATGGACCATCTTTAGCTTTGATTACAGCATGCATCATTTCCATAAGCTTATGCAATGTCACAACATTTTATTTCCGTCCAGAGTTGCATTCATTTTTTACCAAGATCTTGTAGTGATGATGGGAGAGTTGGACCACTGTGTAAAGTCTTCTCCAGCACATCCCAAAGATTCTCAATGCAGTTAAGGTCTGTATGCTGTGGTGACCAATCCATATGTGAAAATGATGTATCATGCCCCCTGAACTACTCTTTCACAATATAAGTGTGCCGCCCCAATAGGGGCATAGAATATGAGATGCATAGCCTCAGTTAATATTAGCATTGTTATATAGGTTAGAATTTATATAGTGTGATTTGCCTAACTATTTTCTCATAGCTAAATTCATGTGTTATCCTATGCTGCCATCTAGTGACCTTTTGTTGTAATGTACATGTTTTTCTGTAATTATTCCTCATGTGACGATGTATTTTCCCCTAGTGTACGCCCCTTCCTTCTTCCTGTGTCATGGCCACAGTGAACAGCCACATGTAACAAGGACACATATGTAATCTGCACAGTACGTAGGAAAGGCATCATCTTTTGACCGCACAATACTATAACTGTTCAACTGCTGTTCCTATCATCTGCTGTAACCTGATGTTAAAGAATAAACACCTCTTTTGAATGAATCGGTATTGACGAGTTCAGCTATCTGACGAGGATTGTCCGCAGTGAGTATATCTGCTTATACAGGCCAGGCATAGAGGTCTCAGCAAGGGATATATTTCGCTATCACAACGATCGGAATCAGAATAATAAGCCCAATGAATCCTGGCATTGACATCTTGGAATATGTCCGTGCCAATAGGGAAGAAAAAAACCAATTGATTGAAAAACCTGGTCGATGAGTATATTCAGGTAGGCAGCTGACCTTGTTTTCTGGGACATAACATTGCTGAATCTAGACCTGACAAACTGTAGCAACCCCAGATCATAACACTTATCCAATGGAAGGCTCCTATTTACTTGGCTAAATTCAGGTGATTACTTTTTCTTTTGGCCAGGTAGTATATAAGTCACACTTAACTTCATGACATCTTTTGCTAGTATGCTGAAGCAAAATCTCAGTTGACCTCACCATTCACCCACTGCCCACATGCTCCGGGTGTCTGCGCTCTGCTTTGGGTGGTCAGTAAATCCCCATAGGCTTTTTGTACAGCAAGGCACATAGACCGGAAGCATGTGGGCTGTGGCTGAACAGTGATGGCAGCTGATATCTAGCTGTAGAATTATGCTTACTTAAAGTGTTGTTCCCATTCACAATGTAAAACTTAAAAAATAAATTAAAAAATTGCTGCTTACATTTTTAAGTGCCTCAAACTTGCTTAAGTATCCTACCTAGCCTCCGCATACGTTAAAAAAGGGGTTGTGCATGGTTATGTGTACTCCAATTAACCCTGTCTGTACTGTACTGTGCTGTACTGGCAGATTTCATTATCCGCTGGAAACTAGATTTGAACACTGTCTGTCCAAACGAAGGGTTAAAGTCATTGTGTGTTAATGAGACGCAGTTCCATCTGACCTCAGTCTTGCCCTCTAGTTTCACTTTCAGGCCTCGTTCATACCAGATGCAGTGCGTTCCGGCCCGATTCTAGCCAGAACGCACTGCCTCGCATTGGCACCGTAGCCACGCCCTGGCTACGGTGCCAATGCCCCCTGCACGGGATCGCATGGCACATTATGCCTGCAGTCTGGTCCGCTCTGGTGCGATCAAAATAGTAACAGTATCGGGCCGAAACACACTGCATCTGATGTGAATGAGGCCTAAAACTGCCCAGATTATCTAGGAATCTGCACAAAGGCCAAATAGATATCTAAAATGTAAGAAATATAATTGTAATATTTATTTTTTTACTATGCTGTGTGTGTAGGAACACAGAGCAAACATATAGATTGCTCGCCACCAGTTGCCCCACCTAGTACAGAGATCAGTAACAACGCGGAGTCGAGATGCCAGCGGTGTGATGCACAGTACAAAGGTCAGCAGTACAGAGGTCAGTAATGTAACTGAGAGTGCAGAGGTCAGCAGTGTTAAGCTGGCCATACACCTTACAACCATCGCACGACTTTCGTTGTGCAATGGTTGTAAGGTCATTAAAATTTTGTACGACCTGCCCATCTTGGACAGGCAGATCGTACTTGTGATCATTGCAAGCCCTCCCCGCTAAGGGGAGGGCTTGCCGATGATTGCAATGCTGATGCCATGTCGGTATGGCATGTAAGGGTGCTTGCTGTCACTGACACAGCTCAGCAGCGGCGTTTCCCCTCACAGCCGCTGCGGAGCTGTCAGTGACAGCCAGCAGCTACGGCAGAAGAGGCCAGGATTCGCAGTGAAGGGGGAGGCGGGCCCGCCTAAGAGCAACCCCACCTCCTCTTACATCACTGGCCGGCGACCTAAGAGCAGGTGGGGCCAGTGATGTAAGAGGAGGTGAGGCCCGGGACGGAAGAGGAGGCGAGGCCCGGGACGGAAGAGGAGGCAAGGCCCAGGATGGAAGAGGAGGCAGGGCCCGGCGACCATGGAGGAGAAGAGCACTGACAGGTAAGAGGTGTGTAGCCCATCTGAGACCCTGCAGAGCCCACTATAGAGCGTCTATGGTGGGCTCTGCAGGGTCACTCTCAGGTGGGCTGTTTGGTATATCAGGTGGGCTCTGCAATTGGCATAACTAATCACGGGGCCCCATAAAAAATTTTGCTATGGGACCCTGTGATTTCTAGTTACGCCCCTGACGCTGGGGGTACTCTTGTATTACTCATCATGGACAGTACACACCCTATTACATTAGAAGTGTTTCAGTGCTCATCTAAACACTACTGCAGGAGAACATTAAGCTTGATAAGTAAGAGACACCTCAGGGGCAATTATCAGCTCCTTCTTATGGGAATATGTGGCACA